ATGCAAACAACATATTGATAAGCTTGAATTTAGTGAAAATGCAGAATGTATTTTCCTTACCCTTCTTTGCCTTCTCTGATGTAGGATGCTTATAGCCCATGCCATGATATAACATGGCAATAAAAATCCGGCAGCCCGAAGCAAAAATAGCTACATAATCAAATCAAAAGATATGATAAGGGTCATAAAAATAGAGGAATGACAAGAATAGTATGTGATTTCTAAAAGAATGCAAATCAAAAAGTTCACATACGGAAAAATAAGTGGAAGGATCATCATCTCCATCAGTAGTGATGCTTAATGCATGCCTCAGAAGAAGAAGTGCCATTAACTGGAACAAGCGAAGAAATATAACGAATTCAGAGGAAAAACCATACAAGCGAGTTAACACCAGACATTTTCTTCCAGCGAAACTCAAGTTTAAGAATTTGAAAACTGTAATTAATAAAGTGACTTACAATTAGAGCAGCAGAGCGGCAGAATGCAGCGCCACTACTATTAGTAGCGGCATACTCATCATACTCTGCTTCAAGAAAGTGGTGTTGAGCTGTTGTCATTGCAAGAATACGAGGATCACGCAAGTCCATCGGTGAACCCGTGATGGTCCACGCCCCACTGTACCACAGAATGATATATATCAGTTCTAACATATATTCAACAAAATGCCAGAAGAAATAATTTTTTCAAGATAAATGGACTGACTCCTCAGGTTCAATACTGAAGTGTTAAACACAAATTAGAACAACTTACGTTATATCAATAGTTGTTTCGTCAGGAGGACGAGGAGGTGCTGTGTAATCAGGCTTGTATGTCTGAAAATATGAAAAATACTCCCATTAATCAATATGCATGAAGGGATAGAAATGCTGAGGTTAGCAATATATAATAGAAGTGTTAATTAATAGAATAAAACATCAAATAATATATGGAACTTTGAGTTTCCCTACTGTCCCATTGTTGTGGGCAAGATATTGTCTTGGTTAGAATTGAACAGTATCACTTTATTTTGATTCATTTTATGAGTGTTGTTGTAAATTTTAGG